AATTAATATCTTCAAAAAGATAAGAGGTTTCATTCATGTAATTAGGTTATGCTAAAACTAAAAATATATTCAAAGAACAAAAAGGGTCACTTGGAAATTATGCATCAGATAACTTTCATAAAGGGATTAAAAGATAAATTTGAGGATATCCTCCAGAAAATAGAGCAAAAGACAAAGATATGGAAAATAGGGCAGAAAAACTAGGAAGATCAGAAGACCAGAGCCCAACTGACCCAATATACAAATAATAGGGGTTCTGAGAAAAAAAAAAGAAAGAAAGAAATCATCAATGAAATAATTGAAGAACATCTCTGAGAACTGACAGACATGAATTTCCAAGTTGAAAAGGTCCATCAGTGACTAAGACTGTGAATGAAAATAGAGCCACACCAAGCCTGTCATCACATTTCAGAACTCTTGGAACAGATGCTACCGTAGGCTTTCAAAGGATCGAGGCACAGAATAGCTTCAGACAACAACACTAGGAGGCTAGGAGCCAATGAACTGATTCCTTCAAACTTCTGAGGGAAAATGATTTTAACCTAGAATTCTATAACCATCTGTTCTGGTTATCTATTGTTGTGTAACAAAGTACTCCAAACTTCAGTGGCTTAAAACAGCAACCATTTTCTTTATATCTCACAGTTTAGTGTATCAGGAATTCAGGAAAAGTTTGGCTGTCCAATTCCTCCTCTCCATGTGACATTGACCATAGTTACTCGATGGTATTCACCTAGTGGCTGGATTAGAGGGTCCACATGGCTTCACTCACATAACTGGTGCCTAGGAAAAGGCAGTTAGAAGACTCAGTTTAGCTGGGTCCCTCTTTCTTTCCAGAGAGGGCCTTTTTTTTTTAATAGACTTTAATTTTTTAGCAATTTTAGATTTACAGAAAAATTGAGCAGAAAATACAGCATTCCTATATACTCTCTCATTTCTTCAATTTCCCCTATTATTGACATCTTGCATTAGTGTGGTACATTTGTTTTAAATGAAGAGCCAATATTTACATATTATTCTTAACTAAAGTCCATAGTTTACCTAAAGGTTTATTCTTTATGTAGAACCTTCCATGGGTTTTGACAAATGCAAAATGGCATGTATCCACCATTATACTTTCATATAGATGAGTTTCACTGACCCCCTCCCCCCAAAAAAACCCTGTGCTCCACTTATTAATCCCTCCTCTCTCTCCCCAAATCCTTGGAAACCACTAATTTTTTACAGTTTCCATGGTTTTGCCTTTTCCAGAGTGTCATATAGTTCGAAACATACAGAATATAGCCTGTTCATATTGGCTTCTTTCACTCAGCAATATGCATTTAAGGTTCCTCTATATCTTTTCATGATTTGATAGCTCTCTTCTTTTTACTGCTGAATAATAGTCCATTGTATGGATACACCACAGTTTTGTTTACCCATTCACCTACTGAAGGACATTATGGCTTCTTCCATTGTAGGGTCTTCTTTTTCATGGTATCTCCAACTGGATAGTCAGGCTTCTTACATAGTGGATCGGGGCTTCAATAGACCAAAGTTGCCAAGTATCTTAAAAACCAGACCATAACTGGCACAGAATCACTTCTACCATACCCTACTGGTCAAAAAGTCACATAACAGCCAAAATTTAAGGGTAGGGGTGTCGAAGATATCGAGGTCATCTCTAATCTACCACACCAGCCAATGAAAGACAAACCCTGATGGTCCTGGAGGCTTATTTCCTTCTTCCTATTGATTGCTTAGCAAGAAGCTGATTCATCATGTTCGGGATGCCTCCTATTTAACAAAATAATTGCCTATACCATAAATCTGTTATTGTTACATGGTGACTTATAAACACCAGACCACTCTTCCCCTAAGAATATGTAGGGTGTCCTAGGTGTGTCTAGTCTAGCTATGCCCTGTCTAAAACATCTTTCTATAAGATAATGAAAGTTCAGGGACCAAGTGAACACTATTACTTCTCTACTTGAAGTTTTTCCCCAACAAGTCTTATTAACCATATTTATGTTTATACTTATGATGTAAGCTGTGTTTCTGGGCCTACCTTATACCTCACCAAATCAAACAATAGAAACATTTTTAGATATACAAATGATAAAAAAAAAAATAAGTTACTTCCCCCACATCCTACAAAAGTTACTTAAAAACATTCACCATCAGAAAAAATTAAAATGTGGCCTTCTAGAAAACAGATCTACTAAGTCAGGAAGAGGTAAAGAGAATCCCCAGGATGATGAAGATAGGGGCTCCCAGGATATCTACTGAGCATGAGGGTGAGAGGGCAGCAAGTCCAGAGTAATCAGGTCAAGAGATTTCAGGAGAGATTTCCACAAGACAAAATAAATAAACTCTCGGGTGCCTGGGTGGCTCAGTTGGTTAAGCGACTGCCTTCGGCTCAGGTCATGGTCCCAGAGTCCTGGGATCGAGTCCCACATCGGGCTCCCGGCTCAGCGGGGAGCCTGCTTCTCCCTCTGACCCTCTCCCCTCTCATGCTGTTTCTCTCTCTCTCTCTCTCTCAAATAAATAAATAAATAAAATCTTTAAAAATAAATAAATAAATAAACAAACTCTCTAATAGAGCATATTGAAAGGGGATCAAACAACTGTAAAAGATTTGAGAGTAAACTGATGATAAATACTTAAAAAAATAAGCAAAGAAACAAAAGGCTGCTATTAACTTCAGGGAAATAAAAGAATTTGGAAGGGAAGAAAAAGCAATCATTGATCATTTGTGAATAGCTAAATCCTCCTCTTGATGGTGGGAAGGGAATAGATAATGCCAAAGACTACAAATAAAGAAGTGGACTTGAAGGTATGTTATTTAGAGATAAGAAAGAAAATGCCCAATGACTCAGTCAGTTGAGGCTGAAATTAGTTGTCTCTGGGAATGGAGAAATGGGGAGAGGAAGGTAGTACGGGATTACTGTTTATCACTACAAGCCTTATAGATATAAATACTTCAACTGTCTTGGTTCACATTCACCTTTTCAGTGAGGCTTGCTCCAACCACTCTAACCTTATTTCCCCTGCCTCCCTTTTTTTTCATAGCACTTACCACCTTCTAGCATCCTCTCTAATTTGTTCATTCAAGATGCTTATTAGTTTTTTCCCTGATGGAATGTCAACAATACAGGGGCAGGGGTCTTTGTCTTCCTCATTTACCAATATGACCCAGGTGCCTAGAAGAGTGTCTGGAACATAGTAGGGCTCGTTAAACATCACTCAAGTAATACAAATTTGACTTTTTTAAACTATGTGCATGGGTAGGTTTGATTTTTAAAAATAAAATAAGTCATTCACCTCAAAACCCCACCACAAAGCAAAAATCCCATACTTAAAATATTGCTCAGACATCATGCTCTTCTATCAAAAAATATTATCATTAGTTTTCTCAGACTTCAAAAAGACTACTTTCAGTGCATTCCCAGTGCCTAAACCTGATACATGCTTACCTTTCTGAAGCACTGAGACAGTTGGAAAGCACTCTGATACAATAAATGAGACTCATGTAACACAAGCAAATGGTGATTTATGTAAGGTTGTGAGATATGAAGTTATTATAATGAAGAAAAGATACAATACATTTGAGGGGTAATCAAATACTTCTGAGTTTAATTATTATTCATTAGTCTTTACCTGGTCTTGTTTCAAAAAGGATTTTACAGAAGGCTATAAAAGCATAAAGAACATAACATTAAATTATATGTAAATTAAAGCTTGGCAAAAGAAGATAGAAAATCAAAGATGGGACAAACAGAAGCCAAGAAAATGACTTAAAGTATGTGCAGTTATAACCTGATACTGGTCACAAATTTGTCTCTAAACTCTGTGTCCATTTAGTATTAGATTCAGCTACAAATAGCAAAGAGACTCCACATATGGGTGGTTAAAATAAGATCATATTTGAGTTTATTTCTCTCACACGTAAAATTTCAGAGATGTGTAGTCCAGTTCTGGTATGGGAGCTCAACTCCACTGGTTCTCAAGGATCCAAGGTCCTTCCAACTCACCCCTCTGCCTTCCCAATATAGAAGTTATCCCCACTGTCCAAGATGGCAGCTTGCCTATTCTGGGCAGAAAAATGGAGAAAGGATAAAGAAGGAGCAAGGGTCACTTGCCAATTGTTTCCTAAGAAGTATTCCCAGAAATTGGATACTTCTACCTCATTTCCCAGAAATGAGTGAAGTGGCCACTTGTAGTTGCAAGGGAAGCTGGGTAAAGCAGTCATCATGTGGCATCATTATGCCCTACAAAAACTTCTATTAAGATGAAGGGGGGAGATGGATCTGAAAGTCAACAAGAGTGTCTGCCACAGCTTCGTAACAACCGAAAGAAGAAAGTGTATAAGGTCAGGTTCAAAATCACTAAACAATGTATAGAATCGTTAAATCACTGTATTGCATACCTGAAACTAATTAACACTATATATTAAGTCTACTAGAATTAAAATTTGAAACTTAATCAAATTAAAAATTAAAAAAAGACACATTTGTTGAAGAGGACCAATTGCTCAAGAAACTTATAGCAGCTCTTGGTAAAAAGTTTAAAAAGGGTTGACTCTGCATATGGGGTTGTTTAAACAAAACCACATTTTTAGCCACCAATTAACTGAACTCAATGATGATTTAGAAACTCAACTTTGAAAAGTTTATTCTGCATACTTGGGTTTGTTTTTTTATTAATAAAATAATTATTGGGGTTTGGGGACATGACCAAAGCCTGAAATTTAAAAAAATAAAATAAAGGGATGATTCTGGAGGTCTTCACAAAAAGAAAAAGTTTAATCTTACTACATTGATGCAACCCATTTTATAGGACTGCTTCTTGTAAAAACTCTCAGTAGTGTACTGACAGTTTAGAGAAAACATGTCTGCAGAAATTTGATTTTTCTGAGTTCATTTGAACCACCCATTTTGAAAAATCGTAACAAAATCCTGTTTTTTGAACATCATCATGTGAGTGTCCTGATACTCATATGCCATATATATTTGTTTCAGAATTAAAGAAAACTCTCTTTACCTTCGATTATGGAAAAGAAACCACTGCAATCACAGAGACTACCAGAATATTTCAAGAAATGGTATGTAGCTTTACACTTACGCCTTCAGCAGTGTGCTTTTAATGATTGATTTTGTTTCATAAGAGTCACAAAAGCTGAGAATTAGATAACAAGGGCCACATAATAAAATGAATAGTCTCCTTTTCCCAGCACCAGGACCCTTTCTAGAGAAGGGCCCTGGGATTACAGCATCTTACCCACAGCAGAGGAGAACAAGAACAAGATGCGGTCAATCCTCCCCCACACAGGTTCTAGAAAGGCCAAGGTGCAGGGCATTCAAAGCTCAGGAGGCAAGACTTAAACAAGCATTAGCAGAACAAGGGCTAAGCAAAATCAAAGTGATTGCAAAGGCTCTGCAAAGTCTCCCACATTTCTACTAGGCTTGGAATTTTAAGAAAAATGGCTGATTATGGCTGAAATCCCCAAAGCCGTTAAGGAAAGGAATGCGTTTTCAGAGTGTTGTGGAGACTTGCAGGTCTCCATCAGCTTCCCATGTTTCCCAGGACATAAGTGTCCTCTGGGCTTGCTTCTTACTTATGTGGTTCTCAGCTCCCACCTTGGACCCAGAGGCAGCCCACTGCCACAAGATTTCAGTGAAACTCCTGATTGAGAAACCAATGTCGGGCTAATGCCGAATGAATTACCAGATAATGTTTTGGGTCACCATAATGCAGAGATGGCGGACACTTAGGGTGTGTGATGCCATATCTCCCTAAGATATTGCTAATCAGCCTTGGCCCTCTTGTCTGCTACACCCAGATTCTGCCTCAGCAATTCATACAACACAGCACATCTGACAATCATCATCATCAGATTAGACTTGGCACATAAAGTTAAACCTATGTGCTATCCCCATGCCATCTCTAATTAACAAGAGTGCTAAGGCATTTTCCAAGCAGTTCAAGTTTTAACTGAATATATGATCTGCAAATAATGTGTGTCTTATAATAAGTATTCTATACAGAATAAATGTTCTACTATTCTAAGAACGATGTAAGTTTTCTTACTAATAAAATAATAGCTGCTATTTATTACTCTCTTATCAAGTGCTAAAAATACTTTAAGTGTAATATTTCAGCTGATGTTTTTCAATAAACTGTAAGGCAAGTATTACTATATTTCTTCAGTTCTAAGATACCACTCATTATAATAGGTCTGGGGAGTGTGGAGGGAGGAAAAAGGAAGAATATACAACGTACACATTGATTGCAGCATTCAACCTCATATCAAACGTGTTAAAGTGTATTTCTTGGAATTGAGGGATTATCATGATATCCACACTGTTACAGCTGAGAAAACAGAGACATACAGAAACCAAGAAACTTGCCTAAGATCACAGAAAATTGCAGGGCCAGAATTTGTAACCAGTTTGTCTTACTACAATCAGACACCAACAAAGGTACTCCTCCAGTCACTGGTCTGTCATCTGAGGTGATCTACAGAAAGAGATTGGCCTCACCTCTCTGCGTATGAACATATCGGACAATGTAGTGGAAAGTTAGAATTGAACCTGGCTATGAATCATCATAGATGTAAAGTGAACTGCAGCCCTTGCACTTTCTCTTTTCCTTCAGTGAGATAATCAAACAGCCCCAGTGCTGTCAAATGCTTTCTGTCAATGTAACTGTAAAAAACAAAAAACAGAAATGCCTGTGTTGAATATCATGCAGCTCTAGAAAATGATGGTTCAGAGTCCATATTTTTTTATTTAGAAGGACAAAACACTGCCAAAAGAAAACTCAGGATATAAAGTTGGACGGTACAGCTTAATTTCTACTATGTTTTTTAAAATAAAAGGAGAAATCAGATGTACATAAGATCTACAGAAAATACACCAAAATCATGATGGATAAATTGTGGATGATTACTTCTTTTTTTTCTTTACTTTTCTGTTTTCTGAAGATTTTATTTTTACATAGAAATAACCTTAAAAAAAAAAAAAAACCTAGAAAGAAACTGAGTGTAGGAACAGTGAAGGGCTTGCCCAAGATCCCATAGCCGAGGGTGTCAGGTGAGGGCGAGAATAAGCAATAGGATTCTGCTGGAAACACAGGCTATAAGCTACTTTCTCCCTGTGCCTAGGACACCAGCATTTCGCTCCTCACAAGACCCAGACATGTCAACTCAACATTACTTTCTACCCACAACAAATACAGAGATCTTTTGTAAAATCAAAAAGACCAAAGGAAGATACTCCAAAAAAGTACAAAGTGCAATTTGTAGTAGACATTTCTCCCTTTTGTGGTATGCTGTCTTGACAGCATTCCTTTAAAATTCAGATTGTGGAGATAAAACGGGAAAAAAGAGATGGGAGGGAAGCCTAATCATGAAAAAACATGCATGTCAGAATGAGATCAAAACCTGTGCCTTCCGTATGTCTAACGAAGTGCTGCTGGAGTATAAGGGCGGGGAGGGAATGAGCTCCTTCCTTTTCTTTAAATTTGCAATTCTTAGAAATACCTAGAATGTATACTTCATCTAGTATAACTTCTATGAGGATGCTTCTTGACTCTTTTTCTAAGGTTATAATTCTAAGAGGGTTTTTATTGTTGTTGTTGCTGTTGTTTTAGTTTCTCATAATTACTCATTATTTAATGTTCTAGTTTTATTTCCAGCCCTTCTTCCTACTTGCTGTTGCTTTTCCTCACTGTGGGTTTTCTTTTGATATTATGCAGCATGTAACCTGACTAGCCGTGCCAAGTTATTTCAATTACTCCCCAAGGTGTTTGTGGGATATAGAAAAAGTCAGCCTTCTCTGCCCTGCATATTTATGGCTACACTTACGTTTCAGAACCAGTGAGAGAGGGATGGGTGAAGAGAGACAGAAAGGAGAAAGAGAAGAAAGAGTTGAATAGAATATTAAAGACTTTCTTAAAAACTGTACAGTGAGAATTAAAGAAACAGCTCTTATTTTCATCTTGATGTTTATATACAAGATCTGGAAAACGTCTATCGGTCCCTCTGCTGTGAACCACTGGTCCAGTGATTGCCAGTGATTATAGAGCATTTTAAAATGTAAAATGTCAAAGTCATCTTTAATTTGGGTATTAATTCTCCAGCATGGGGGTTAGGCATAGCAAGGTTCCTGCTAAATCTTTACAATTAGCAAAGAAGATTGTTCACAGCAGCTCCTGTAGCTTCCAACTTGCCCCCAGGGCCCCAAGCGGAGGGGCCTATGTAGTGAAGGGGGAAATGGTCAAAACCCCTCGTGGTTGGCTGGGTCCTCACACAATGTCACCTCACTTCTTGCAGATGCAAAGCGAGGCCTAGAGAGCAGACCACAGAGGTTTCCCCTTCTTGTTACTTCATAAAATCTTCTCCTTTTCTTTGCCATGTAAACTAGTAGATTGGTTTTGAATTTAGGCGCTGGAATGGGTGTGTGACTAGGACAAATCACTTAATTTCTCTGGCCTGTCTCTGCATCTATAAAATGGGGGTCATTGTTCGATGAACAGAACTGCCAAAAGTGACCCGGGATGTCATTCTGGGTCGCCTAGACAACAAGCTAGCTCCAGTGGGCCGCCTTCACCCTATTTTGCTGAGAGAAAAGGCTGCACCCAAAGTCAGTCTGATTATGGGGTTCCAGGAGCAAACCCTGCCTCGTAAGTTTGCCCCTTATTCAATAAAGCCAATGTTTAAACTACATCACATGACACTGTAGAATTCATCACAAACCCCAGATGGGGCCCACTTTGCACCGTAGGGATAATAACAGGCCATACCTGACCTTCCCTGGGCTATTATAGGTTGAATGGGAAAAATGCAGTGTTTCCTCAATGTCCGTCATCATTGCTAGCTCCGCCTACCACCTGTCCTATTATTTCCTCAGCATTTTTAAAAAATCACTGTTTCAATGTAAAGCGTTCCTTTAAAAAAAAAAAAAAAAGTAGATTTGAAAACACAAAAACACATTTAAAAGACATCCATGATGGGAAGGCCTGTTATTCCCAGAGTGCAAGGACAGAAAGAGGGGTCACCTAGGGTTGGGTTTCCAGGCCCCTCGAGACAGCAGTGGGCAGGGAGGTAATGGGAATGGGTGAGGGGCAGCCAGCTGGACCCAGAGAATCTGACAGAAAAAGAGGGCTCCCTCTGGGAGGAAAAGGCTGGGTTAAGGATAGGAGTGGGAAATGATGGAGCCTGGTAAACAGCAGGTCTGAGATTGACTGAGGGGAGTTGGGGCCAGGGCCAGAGGAGAAATGGGTGGACTGCGAGGGAGCCCTGGGGAATGGGAACCGAGTGCAGCCTGGGTGGCAGATTAAGGCTCCCCTTACAAGGCTGGAGGAAAGCAGGGCTAGGGCAGGATGGGGGTGGGGGGGAGTGAGAGCTGAGGGTGGGGCAGCTGAGGACCCTTGAGGATGGGTGGGGCAAGGGATGGAAGCTGTGGGGTGGGAGAGGCTGGAGATCAAGCCTTGACTGGCTGAGCTGGGAGTTCTAGAACATGCTACAAGAAGAGAAGCAGAGGAGGGGTTTCGAAGATGATCCCCTCTCAGAGGCTAGACCTAGAAGTATGAATGCCAGTCAGTATCCAGCTGGGAGTCCAGTGAGACAATCACGGACCCCAAAACCACCTCCCATACCCATGCTGCATGGTCCATTTTGGGGGGCCTTAGGATTGGGCCTTAGGGCCTCATGCTCAGTGAAGACTTGGTGAATGCTAGCTTTTATTCAGCCCTCACTGTCCTTGCCTGACCTCATTGCCCCTTGTTCACATGTCCAGCAGAGCCAACCTCCTGCCCCATCCCACAAGCCTTTTGTTGCTGCCCCTGCTGTCACCCTTTACTTGGCTTGTAGCTGAGTTTCTTGCTTAAGTCTGACTTCCCAGTGTGACAGTGAGCACGAGCCCCGGGGGACCCATATTTGTACTACCAGCATACTCAGCCTCTGCTGCGCGTAGTAGGGACTCGTCAACCCAACACAGTCTTTCTTTTAAGCCCAAATGCCTTTCAGGAATTACATTCAACCTTTGAAGAGAAGAAAAGCACACACAGTAATCCTTTGCCAACTTCCATGGTGGGCAAAAG